AAAAAAAAAAAAAAAAAAAAAAAAAAGGCACATTCAAAATGTTAATTGCATTTATCATTTAATATAATCCCTATGCCTACCTGCAGTGAGACTGGGAAATCATATTTATTGTATTCTTCTATGAAAGTAATGTCTGTGGAGTGACTAGTGGGTGCATAGTTGCCAGGGGTATGGGGACCAAGTTCCAAAACATGGATCTACAAGATAATATCATACAGACTACATACATATTAAGTTGTCACAAAATCATTTAAGGTCACGTGGCATTTTCAACGTTTGTTTTTAAAACTAGAAAGTAACATCTGAAGTCAAATATTGCCACTTCGCCTGACCAAATGGCACCATCAGACAAGAACCTTGATTTAAAAAAAAATCTCTGAACATTTATCATGGGACCCAACACCTCACCTTGATGAATCTCAGGAACCACCAGAATTGAATTTAAAAAACCTGGAATTCCGCTTTTCCGCGGAAAAAGCTCATGTCTGATCATGAAGTTTAAAATAGCATAACTTAAAGAAACACCAAAGGGTATTATCTCATACTACCCAAAAATTATATTTGAACAAATATTTTCTGCTTTCCTTCTGTACTATAAATAAATGAGATTATTATACCTTTACCTGAAAATTTAAATCATGTAGAGTAGTAACCAGGTATTCAGCACGTGAAGAATAAAAGGGGTGTTTATCAAAAAAATAATCCTAAGAACAGGCTCATCTACATAAGAGCCCCATAGACTGTTTACCTTTCCATTGAGTGTACAGTCCTGTCTTGAAGCTAAGCATAATACTGTGGAGGGATATGGGTTGTCATCCAAGGTATATTGAGCAAAGCACACAGCGTGGGCAGACACACATTGAGACGCACACAGTTCACGACAGAAAAACTGTGTAACACCAGAAATGCTGTTCTCCTGAAAATATAAGAAATTTGGAAACATTCCATATGGGCTTGATAATTTGAAAAGTTATAACTATTACAGAAAAAAATAGACTCATTGTTTTTTTTTTTTTTTCTAAAATCAGTTTAGGAAAATGTTTTAAAATGCCTCACAAAAAAGTGATCCACTATTATAGGAAAAAATGTAAACATTTGCATTATCAAGTATACCATACCTCAACATTAAGAGCTGTCATAGCATGCCATCGAAATGAAGCATCTGTCTTGTAACTTACTATCTGGCAATTAGACATTCTTATGTCCAATTTAAACACCTCTTCTGGGACTGAATTTTCTGAAAATGGTCAGACATGCTTTAGCAGTCTGCTACTATGGTATGACCATATTGACAGTGGATAAGAACCCTATTTACATGATTTTGTCAATTTGTATAGTTGATTCTAAAACATATCATCAATACAGATGTGCTAAGAACAGATGCAAAAATGTGCAGATTTTGGGGTGTTAAAATTTTAAAAAGTATCCTATTTTTCATCGATAACTGAAATGGGTATCCTACACATGATGGTTAACTAGTATTTACCTTTTTCTAAGCACCAGTGATACAATGCATTATCAGATACTATGGCTATCAGCTCAGAGTTGACCCATGTCCAGTACACAGCTTCATGTTCCATAGTACACTGGTGGAGAAGTTCTCGAGTTGATATGTTGTACACTTGAAATTTGGTGCCAGCTTAAACATCAGAAAATCCATATTTATTATTTTGTAAGGATGCATTCCCAATGTAACTATCAATATACATAGATTGATCCAACTCTGTGGGGACTCTCACTTAATGCCATCAGATTAACTAAATGATATGCCTCCTTGAGCAGCTAGGGGCTTTATTAACTTTTGTTTGGCTGCACTCAAAAGTGACAAACCTTCCAGAAGCCTATCTATTTGAAGGGAGGTGGGGTCATTCAGTTAATCTAGCGCAAGTCCCTACAGAGCTGAATCAATCTACTGTATGTCGTACAAAAGTTTCATTGAGAAGGCGCCCTAAGACATAATGTTTTCTTTATTCTACAAACAACCCAACCGATCCAATGAACAGTACAAATCTGGAACTGTCCTAGAAATCATTATTTGCTGGCCATTTTAAAATCACAGTTAAACTCATGCATGATATAACACTGTGTGACTTAATTTCTTTAATCACTTCATTTGACAGGCACTTACCCTTCAGAGCAATCACTGGCTTGAGAGGGTTCATTCCAGCTGAATCTGCCACAGAGTGATATGTGAGGAACTTGCCAGGTTGGGTGAGGTTGATTACTGTCACCTAGGTTGCAAACAAAAAAAAATCAATTACTAGTAGTTGTCTTTATATGAAAAAGAGAGGTTTCTGTAATTGTTACAATCTTTAAAATATCAATTTGCATTGCGGCAATATAATCTAAAATTATAAACCTGTAAGATAAAAATGTGAATACAGAATGACTGAATCTGTAATTAAGTTAAAATTACACTGACATGTTTGAGGTAAAAAGGTTGTAATATTAACTAAAAACAGCTAGTTTGAAGCAAAACAGGATTTGGTTAACATTTGCATCTATAGTATCTAATAATTTTAATTAAGGTTACCTCTTAGGTCTGTTTATGCGTGTAAGTGAACTTCCTTTTAATTCATAGCCAATACTTTAGATTTTATTTCATTTCCTGTCTACTTTTTATATTCAGTAAAATATTCAAGAAATATATAAATATTTCCAATAGGTAATTCAAAAGCAGTGTTTTTTTTTCCTGGTAAGGTGGGGGTTGTCTTGGTGGGTGGGTGGGGGGGGGGGGATTGTCTGGGGGAGAATTGTTCTAGAATCAAGAAACTCTACTGCAATCTTTGTAGAATGATATGATAAATATTGACAAAGATGGATTCCAAAATAAAACACCCGAGAATCAGATATATTCTCTAATTACACAGAAACTTCCCATGGGCACTACTCCATCTATCAAAGTAATCAATAATGATGACACTTAGTCTTTCTCACTAGTAACCCACCATAAAGTCAATTAATTGCAAAACAAAACTGCTTTCACATGCATTTTCTTTGCTACAAAAGTGTTAATTTTACATTGTTAACTCACAGAACATTCCTATGGGACAGGTTAAAAGTGCACTAATTTAATACTTATCACTTCTGTCTTCTAAGATCAACATTATTTAAGGTTGTCTTATTCCTATATTTACAAGAACAAAATGCAAGTGAAATGTGTTTACAATCAACTCACCCACTCTTCTCTATCATTCAATCCCCCCGTAAAATGCAGTTCACTATAAAGTCCTTATTTACTTACACATTGCAATTTCTCCCTGTGATTTCCCTCTTCCTTAGTATGTGCAGATTCCATGTCCTCCCCCAGCCGGTCATGTAGACAGCACACCCATTGATCTGAAGCCAGGGACACTCTGTTCCAAGTAACATGGTCTGGACCAACCTGGAAGTCTGCCAGCTAGAAAAAAGTTGGGGAATTTATTTCTATTTAAAAAAATCCCAGTAAATGTATTTATTAGTAATACACATGCAGGAGTCTACTTGTTTAATTCAGGGCATGAATTTTAAATAAATGAGTGGCCACTGCCATGGATTAAAAAGTTGCCCTTGAACACTGCATATATATACAACATATTTGTATGTATAAAATAAAGTTCCATTTGCAGTTTCAAGGAAAAAAAAAGTTTTCAATATACCATCATACAGTTGTATGTTGCCTTTCAGATTTTAACCCGCATTTCATAAAAAGCATCCTGGCAAACTTAAACTAATACCATAAAAACACACAGTCTGGTTCAGGCCTACCCAACTACCAGACTTGGCACCGAATGATCCTGAATTCACCGGTAGATCGGACCACATTACCCGTTTTCAAGATGTGTGTCAGTACGCATTTCACAGTATCAGACACGACACCGCTCTTGCCTAGTACGCGATGTGATAGTAACGATTCTCAGCAGGGTTGAAAAGTATTGTATCACCACTCAAAATTTGTTCGGGGTATGACACTGTGAAATGCGTACTGACTCACACCTCACGGGTAGTGTGGTCTGATATACTGGTGAATTCTGGATCATTCAGTGCCGAGTCTGGTAGTTGGGTAGGGTAGGCCTGTGGTTGTCATGAATACTTTAAAACCAGGACCCAATCTCCATTTATTGTAAGTTAGGCCACACTTTTTTATTTTTATGGATGATATCCTGAGCGCGCACCTATTTTAGTCCGTTCGTTCTCTGAGAAAAAAAAAAAAAAAAAAAAAAAAAAAAAAAAAAACACCCCCAACGAAGTCGGTTGTCGCAAATGTCGTTACTGAATTTGCCGGAAAATGAGCTTTCTCTGCATGCGTATTGTCTCCACGTGGAAATGTGGCCGCTTTGCTGTCAAATTCGTCTCTAGGATTACTTTCAAATTAAACGACAATTAAAGTCATAAAGAGAACGGGGCCCGTCATTTTGGATTGATATGCCATTGATATTAGGCATGGAGATATGACCTTTTTACAATTAGCCTATGCGAAAGGCTGGCATCGGCCAGCGATTATCGCCCGGAAAGTTTCAGTGACATTCTGTCCAAAGCAGCACATACCAGTTTTTTTGTAGCAAAAAAAGGGTCGACAAGGGCGTCGAGGTATTTGATGGGCTGAAGGTTGGACAGGCCACCCGACAGTTTGGCTGCTTCGTGTGAGTCAAGGTAGACAAAATTGCATCGACCGAAATGACCTTTAATAAATTTGGTAGTATTAAACATCTCTTTGCATCATTTTTAAACATTTCTGTGAAGTGTTCATAATGCTTTAATATTCTGAAGGTACAAATAAAGAAACACTGTTTGTTTGATATTGGTTTTATTGATTGATATACAAACAAAATGCATGAAGAAACCTTAAATAGATTTAGTTATATGCAGCATGTCAATTCACAAGATAAGAAATGTAATTGTAGAGCTCCTAGTAAGTGTCCTTTGAGAGGGGAATGCTTGTCTAGCAACATTGTGTCCCAAGCATCAGTCACTACTAAGGACAAATGCATGAAATATATAGGGCTTTGTGGTGGCCAATTTAAGTTGAGATACAATAATCACACCAAGTCATTTAGAGACAAGAAATATGCTGCAGATACTGAGTTATCCAAATACATTTGGAAATTAACAGAAAATAAAACCCAGTATGACATTAGATGGGACATCATAAAGAAATCAACGCTGCAAAGGAGAAATCAGCACCTATGCAATCTTTACTTAGACGAAAAACTGTTGATAATGATAACACCAGATACTCTCAATAAAAGAACTGAAATAATTACCATGTGTCAGCATAAAGTGACGTAACTAACACGGCGTGCGATGTAAGTGTCATCATGCTGTGTATGTAAAATGGCTAATAAAACCATTTTCAAATAAACCTCCTGACGATCGGGCATACCTTCTGGGTATGACCGTGAAACTCGGAGTCGGGGTTATTCCATGTCTTTTGTTTATTTATTTATTTATTAATTTTAATTGCGTGTACACACACACACACACACACACACACACACACACACACCAGACCAAATTGAACAATGTTAAAAGTATCATCCATTACTATAGTTATGATATTGATATCCCATAAAATACTCAGACAGAATCAGCAGAACTCAACCCATTTTCATGATTTATGCAGTCAAATAACAGACTAATACAGTTCTGTTTTTGCTATGGGCAGAATGCAAAAATGTTAAACACAAATCAAGGAAAAATCATATACATCAATGACTAATTGTAAACATAAATCATTTTATGCCCACCCAACCCCCTTTATTTACTAATTTTTTATTATAGCAATATAGGAAGTTAGGCTGATCCTAGCCATTAATAAAGGGAAATTTTAGACAAGTTAAAACATATACAGTGATTGATAAAAATTTATCACCTATTTAACATAAATTTTCTGAAAATTAGTCATTTGGATAAAGGAGATATTGCACTTTGTATCTTCACTCCAGTAGGGTAATACCATGCAGTTTTCCATTGTTTCATATTTCCTTCCTGTGTTAATTCAATATAGGTTAATGTTAAAAAGAAAAAAAAAAGGAAGTCAAGTGTTTTGATAACCTTATCATGACATACTTAAAGGATGCCCCAGGTGTATAATTTTCCCCATTGAAAAGATGGAGTCATTACCATAATTCAATGCAAACATGGCAATCAGTAATTTGTAGCATCATGATAGTAAATTATCATAGCCCCTTAAGAAACAAACCATCATTTTATCTTGTAATCAAACAACCTCCTAATGTTTATAATTTATAGTGTACATGATAAATCAAGTAAACAAATCACCATATACACAGTCTGTCAAAGTGCAACTAGTCACCTTAATGGTATCCAATCTGGGATTATACCACCAAAACAAAGGGAAAAAAGCAATTTTCCCCTACTCTCAAATCATTGCTCGACCTATCCCTGCACTTCGATTCAATGCTTTATATCATTTTAAAAAAATTTTGTTTAAAGGGATAATAACTCTTTGTATGAGACCTATATTTCACAATAAAAACCTTGTGAATAACTCATAGAAATATAATATATTCTGTTTTACCACAAAAACAGCAGTTATAGCTTTTATTCTGATATTTGAACTTATCTTCAGACCACGTGACCTCCATTGATGTCTATACTCTGTTAAAATCTCTTAAGAGATTTTAACAAAAAACCAAACTTTTTAGAAAAAAACCAGGGACTAACTTTGAATGTAAAAATGGATTCATTAACCATTGGTAAGTATGGGAAAATTGTTGTTTACTCCAGGAAAATTCATTTTTTGGCCGAAACGAAGAGTTATTATTGCTTTAAGTATATAATGTAGTTCTAAATGAATTGCCTTCCTGCCACACCATATGGAATGACCTCGTTTTTACTTAATAAAACAAAGAAAATGGCATGGTATTTTTTGTTTCATGGCCTTGTATCTTGTATAATATAGACAGTTTTATTTCATGCTGCTTGAGTTATAAAATGTCATGGCTTGGACCTTCCAAGGATATAAAGCTGAGAAGTATAATGACATTAGGTATGCTTCACTCAAACTATTATTAAAAGGGGAAAGGTCTGAAATGGGAAATAAAAGAAACTTTGTGAGATAAAAAATATGACTGTGGGATACTTTGAATATATAATGGTAAAAAAATAGATACCTTCATTTAAATATTATATAGGTTTTAAAGTTTAGAATAGATATGTTAACATACTGATGTAAACGTGAAGCTTGTTTATGCAGATGAGCTGAGACACTAAGAAAACACACTGAGAAAAAGGATTTTTAAGGACTTCAATCTATAAATATTAATGACTAGAGTGCAGAGGTAGGAGATACCTAGGTACAATTTGTATTCAAACACTGTACAGCACTAGTATAATACAATAGAAAATGATTTATTATATTGTGACAAGGATCATATCCCTGGCAGCCTGGCCCTATGAACCTCTCCATCACCATACATCATTATTGATTTTCTTTTAACAAAAGTGTGCACCAAATATTTAGCCAGTTTCCTAGTATTTATAGTCTTGATAATTTTAAGTTTCGTTTATATCATGGAGCCAAGTGTGTTATCAAAGTTGTAGAGAGCGAGTATAATCTACAAAAACACAGCACAATTATATGTACGGGAATCATAATGCTCTGATCAGATATTTGTCCAAAGGGAGGAAAAGAGGACGAGAACGAATGTACAATATTATGACCCTTCGCAGATACTGCGGTACATCACACTGTACATGTCGTACGGCGGTAGTCACAGCATAACAATATGGAACATTCTACTGGAATTTACGGTACCTTAATAAATTCTTTAACTTCAACGGGTGGCGTATCTTTTTCCATCTTCGTTGCCTTCTGTGCAACTCATTTCAATGCTCGCATCGCGCGAAATAAAAGTTTTTTTTTTACCTCAAGCACCTGTCACGAAATTTTCAACGACCGGAAGTTTTGAAGAAAAACCGCCGGATAGGCATGCGCACTAAAACTGCTTCCGCTTGCCGGCGAGCGTGGATGTCGTTGATTGGTTTTGCAGGAAAATTTCATTCTTGTCTTTTATTTTATCTATATCGTGGTAGAATGCAGGTCCTTTCTATAGTCAAGCAGAGGGCTGTGCTATGGCTTGTGTTTCTGATTTTACAGTTCATACAGGTGTGCGGTATTGGTCAAGTGATATGGGCAGTGAACTGTGGCGGGGAGGCACACACTGACATCAATGGAATAAAATACCAAAAAGATATGTCCAAAGTCGGCACCCCTTCAGACTATGGGAAAAGTTTGCTGATTCAAAGGGTTGTACCACAAGATATGATACTTTATCAAACAGAGCGATATCATTTTTCTAGTTTTAGTTATGATATTCCTTTGAGCGGAGACGGAGACTATGTTTTAGTCCTAAAATTTAGTGAAGTGTGGTTTGCAGCACCAAATCAAAAGGTTGGTGTGTTTGATTTTTTTTTATCATTTTATATTTATTGCAGGTAGAGTGATATATATGCATTATAATAAGCTGTCATTGGTACATTATAGACCAAAGCATTATATATCACTTTGAAAACAGGAATTAAGTTCCTGAAGTATTATATGCCTGGTCATGATCTTATCAAGTATTTCCAAATGATATTTTATAGCTATTTCTCATTGTTTTCACATTTTAAGTATCTTATATATTTATTATGTGTTATTGGTATTTTAGAAATTTATTATTCATTTTTTTTTTCTAATCTCCTTCTAGGTATTCAATATTGTGATGAATGGACAACATACAGTTGTGGAAGATTTAGATATTTTTGGGAAAGTTGGACGAGGTGTTGCACATGATGAGGTTATTCCTTTTATAGTGAAAAATGGAAAAATCAGGGTCAGAGGAGAGAGCTCAGATATCAGCGGGAAATTAAAAGTTGAATTTGCAAAGGTGAGATTACTCCAGCAGTTGCATAAAAGACTAATGTGCAATGAGTACAAAATATGCTGGTGTGTTGATTAATGGTGTTTTGCCAGGAGCCTACACCTGGGTTGAAGATGAATAATTTATTGACCTTGACAGTCAGAATTTCAGGTGTGTAGCCTGTGGAGGTTCCCGGGTTCTCACAAATTGCCCTTATGACTGGGAAATGATCCACTCTGGGTAAAATTTGATCTAGGTGCAGAGAGGTTTCATGGCAAACGGTCCACTTTTCAAAAAAAAAAAGACACACACCTCTTTGAAATTGTTGGATATGGGCCTGGAGGTTGATAGTTTGCTTTAATTTCTTGTCTGAAACTGTTGTAACTGCAGGAAGGGAGACTGCTTGTTGGATGTCATTGTTAACTAGTAGATAAGCAGTTTTTCATATGGATTATAATGTGCAAATGATTGTAAGCCAGTAGGTTATTTCATTGTGTTATTTAAAAGTGGGCATTTTATAAACATTATTTTTCACTCTGACATTTTTCCATAAAACTGTTACTTCTTTTTTTTTCAGATTAAAAATGCATTAATGCACTAACATCAAATGCACTAATGCACTAACATCTTTTTCCTTGGTATATGAAGTGGTGAAAATATTGATAGTGGTGAAAATACTTTGGAGTGGACTATTTATTTATCATACAAAATTTTAAAACCATTAACTCTTGATCAGTAAAATAAATTGACTTGATTAAGGAATGTTTAAGATTTTATGTGTTTGCAATGCAATGTTATATTATTTAAGACTTAAGTCTTGGGTACTGTTGTAAGGTTCCTGGATTAAGAATGTTAGTGCCTGTTAGAAATATTGAATTGCTAAGCTTGTATCTGCAGAAACTGTTTTAATCACTGAACTTATCACTTTGGTAATTATATTTTTTCAGGGAAACTATGACAACCCAAAAATCAATGCTATCTACTTGATGAAGGGGAGCTTAGATGGTAAGAAATGACTTGATTACCATAGATTTTATTTTTTGATATATCTTTTGTCTCTTGGGTAGAGGTACTGTTTCTTGTTTGAAATTATATTCAGAGATCTATCAAGATCATATATTTTTTTCATAAATTGGCATTGATTCAAATGCAATTAACACCAATAATTATATATATATATATATATATATATATATATATATATATATATATATATATATATATATATATATATATATATATATATTACACATACACACACACACACTAATTATCAAAAATTTAGAATGTAAGGGTGCTTTCCCAGAGATTTAGATCGATCTAAAGATTAAGATTTAGATCGACCTAACTCCCTGGGGGTTCACGCTAAATTGCAGTCAGCCGAGCGGGCACCATAGTTAATTACCCCCTTACAGCTTTTAGTAGGCGGGACAGATGCTTAAGCTGGCCAAGCTGACAGTAATCTAGTGAGACTCCCCACAGCGATAGATCGATCTAAAAATCTATGGAAATGGGGTGTTAAAAACCTTTCCAGTATTAAGCTATAATGAAGTATTATATGTGAGACTTCTTGTGGTATGAATAAACATTTTGATAGGCTTTGGTTTATGTGATTAAACGACTTTGATACTACATGCCCACTATTAGCATCTACACTAGTACACTCAGTGATAGGCTTGGAGAATATCATGTTATTTATAGCACTACATTTTTAAACAGTTGTTGCTCTGATAGATTAAGATAATATTGGGATATGTGACCTTATGTGTTACATTATTGGCATAAATTACATGATTATTTACTGTTAAAAATATGTGTGTACTGCTTATTAGTTGCATAACTTTTTTTGGTCTTTTCATCTCATTTGCAAAGCTTAATTTGGTTTCAGATGTGCCTCAGCTTCCTCCATTGCCTACACCAGATAAACAGCAAGAAGAGCAGGAAGAAGAAGAGGAGGAAGAACCAGAAAGGCAGAAGAAACCAAGACGTACCTCAGGTCCCAAAATACAAGACCCATATGCAGGGGAAGATGCCAGCACTACCATGTTACCAATTCTGGCTGCTTTGGGAGCTTTTATTCCACTTGTATTTTGTCTCTGTAAACTTTGAAATCTGTGTTATTAATGATTGTTAATATTTCATAAAAGTGAGTATCTTCTTTTTACATTAAATGCACAAAAGCCTGCATTATCAAGCCATGTACTGTTGAAATAAAATTTCTAGTTTATGAATATTAAAACATGTTACACTTTTTCATTAAGATGTCAAAATGTAACTGAGAGGATGAGACTTTCAATATATACTTCAAATAAATGATTGTTACACTGTCTCCATTGTATTTGATATTTTTGCCTTACTGAGCCATTTTTTGTAATAAAGTGATCTGAATAACATGACATTTGCTAGTAGTAGTAGCTACCATTGGCAAATTTATTTAATTATCGTCAGATGAACTCAATCTGAACACTCTTTTGATTACCCCAAGTTTGATCAGGATCCCACTTTCATTATTTTGCTTAAATTTTATGTTATAGTATCCTGTATATTTTTATATGTAAGACAGAGTAATGTTATGTTGTATTTGTTGTTCATTCATGGTCCTCGAATGTTAGGGCAAGTTGAGCCTATGTCACTTGTGCAGTTAATTTTAAGAACTTGAATTAATGCTATTTTTAAATAGCTTGTAATATAATTATTTACATCTAGCACTGCTAAAAGCATAGAAATCATTAGCTTCAATCTTTTGTGTAGAGTAAACACTCCCAAGAAATTCTATGAATGAAAGGATTAACTTAGTCCCTGTGTTACTGTATATTTTAGTAGGATGATATGAAGTGCTCTTGGTTTTGATGGGCTTTTCTTTATTGTGTACTATTTTTAATGTTAAACTTGGACAGCATTATACTTTAGACCTTATGATGAGGTTACTATGTGGAGAAGTATATTTGTATTGTTCTGGAAAAAACGAATTTGATGCTTTTGAATTATGTAGGAAAATATGTAGAATTACTCTTGGGCTAGTTTTATCTACTTGAGTAAACAAGGTAATTGTAGTTAAGGGCTGGCATCATGTCTTGTCCACAGTGGGTTGGGTAAAATTGTGAACCATAACCATTCCAGATTTATATTCTTTTTGTTCATCGAGAACTGATGTGATAAAGTATCATACAGATATGTATAATATTTAGTTTTGGTAAATTTATCACACTGCTTTGATTGGTTTGTGTGTTATTTGTTACATGTTGATTTTTTTTTTTTTTCTTGTAGGTTTCATCTATTTTAGCATCTATAGAACAAAGTAAAATTACATTTGGTGAAGCTGTTTCATTGCCTCCTGTGTAATGATGACATTGGTAGAAAACGCATTTGGTTTGTCTGGAAACAATTTACTTTTTATCATGGAATTATATAGTTTTGTTGCATCAAAGATTTGCACCAGTAATAATTCAGAAAACTGTTCATGCCAGTGCTTTAAGGTAAAGAATCATCTTATCTCAATGATTTTAAAATGTTCAAAATTCTCAAGACTATATGCGTAGGGTGCAATTTAACCTAAACTGTATATTGGGGAAAGGAAGGGGGGTTGGCAACCAATGTCACGTGGGTATAGGTTAAGGATGTTCCAACTATGTTGCACAGTTAACGGTATAGTGGTTGTATCTGAAACTTGTGGTTTACGAAATTGATTTTTTGTATTGTATTCATTTGTTATTGTAGTATTATTTAATATAAGATTAAATCAGCAGCAGTGATTACTATTCAGGATTACATTATGTATCCATTACTTGAATAAAATAAATGTTGTTCAAATATCATTTAGTTGTGCATCAAGTTCACAAAAAAAATTTCAGGTCCTTCAAAAAACCCTTTATTTAAAAAATAGATAAATAAGTAAATAATATAACAGACAACAGCAAGTTATAATTAAGTATTAAAATAATCCTCAATCATCCTTTTAAAAACTTTTTAAAAAATATTGCAACATAATACAATGAGATTTTAATATCCTTGCTAGGAAATAATTTCTCCGACTGTTTTGTGCATATCTTGACTTTGCATTACATTTTTGAACAGGAACTTCTCTTTAGATTGATGTACATGAAACATAAATAAAAATATACATAATACAAGTTTTGATTCACATGAAAAATCACAAAAAAATGATAATAAAGTACTAAAACATTTAATGGTTTTTGTTATTGAGCAATCAGGCTGATATAGTAATTTTTATGGTTTATAGCATTCATTGCTACTAATCCCAACCCTATTTTCATAGAGTAAAGGGGCAATGCTAATCTTCTCTGTATCGTTCCAATTTTAGTATATGTCCCACCGTAGTAAAGATAAGGACTCTGTTATATATTTGTCCAACAAGAGAACATATAAGCATCTATCAAAGTAACATAATAATTGAGTAAATGTGGTATGAAAAATGGGAACAAACACATTAACCCTGAGATAATATCTAGTTCTCTTTGGCACCGATTTTACGTGGTTTTGATTTCCTAAGGTGTTTATAAGCACCCACTGCCATCAGTCCTGTCCAGTACAGCATAAGGATCATTAAGCCCAAACATGACAGGTTGCATTTCATAGGAATCCTGAATGGCACATGTAATACTGGAATGTCATACTGAAGTGCATATTTCCAGTACATAAATGGGAAGATCAAGACTCTGCAGGTAAAAAACATGATAATCATGACCCATCCATTGATCAAATAAAGTTTGCTATCTTTCATTCCCAGCTGAAATATGAACAATGAAATAAATAATTACTTTTGTAAAATTTATTTTCCTTTTAATAATAATAATAATAATAATAATAATAATAATAATAAAATTAGGCTTTCCAATAATTTCTTTAAAAAATATATTTGGCAGGACATCATTGAAGGCAAATGGAAAGGTGATATAAAAACTAATATGAATGTACTCAGTGTTATATATTTAAGAGGTTACGAATAAAAGTATTTTGTGAACAAAAAACATTCATCTCACCTGAATAAAGACTACCCTCATACAAATAAAGGGGACTGCAAGTTCAGACGTGTAGAAACTTCCAACAAAGAAATCTCCAATTCCTTTCCTGAAATACTAAAAAAAAAAAAATAAAATAATAATAATAATAACTTTTCATTCACTACATTCTTCATTTTTCATATTTAATTGTTGTTTTCATCAGTGTTCAAATTATAATACATTACATATCAGCAGTTCAACAATCATAATAGAAGATATAAAATAAAAACCCCAGTTTTAGTTCAATTAACTTACAACTAAAACAGGAAAATACAGAAGAGGAAGTCCCACGTGATGGAACACCATAAGTGGCCTCCTGCTTATGAAATACTGAACTGACTGTTTGGTTGACTTCCCTACGAAGTCTTCTGCGTGAGTGTGGACATATGATTTATACATGGCCCAGGTATCATAATAGAAATACTGGACACCAAACCATGGGTACAGTGATACGGGCCAATGTCTGAAAAAATGTTGAAAACAAACAGTTTTACCACACATTTTTGCAATGTGTGATCATTAAAATGTTGCAAAAATATCATGGTTTACCTAATAATGATATTCACTATTCTTAAAGAAAATTCTGGTTGTAATGCACATATTTGATTTTGGAAGTATGTTGTTTAATAAAAAAAAAAAAAAAGGAAAACAAAAAAGTAATAATACAATATATAAAATTGCTCTCAGTCTAGGCACTTTACCTGTCATACATAACATCTTTACAGCTCAGTACTGTTGTCACACCAACTAGGCTTGCTAAGACTGCCTGTATAATTGATACACACCTGAAACAGTTACTTTTTTTTCAATGGATATGGAAAAAGATGTTCACATATAACATGTATCTGTAGTCCTAAGAATGAAGTCTGGGTCCCATATTAGTTACAGGATAGGGTTAGTTGGGGTACTGGGGTTAGTATATGGAAAATGTCACCTGTACAAAAAAATGGAAAAAGGACTACGGTTCCTAGCGGGCTTCCATTCCTGTTGCACCGCTACATCATTACTACGTGTACATGTATACTCGTCCTTTTACCACCACCGCGGTCTGAAATTCGTATGCACTTACTCCATTGTAATTGTGCGCAGTTGCCCTTCATTCCAAGAGGGATTCTTCCGTCTTAATTGATTATATATGACATAATATGACACTGGAAAAAACAAGCAACCAAAAATAAATGTCAAAACAATCAAGAGCACATCCATTCAAACTCCTAACAAAACCGGATGTATTACGTACCAGTTGATGATAAGACTTTTACGACAACAGAAGAAAGACAATACACATCCCCATGTAGTTTTCTCTGAATTAACGGTTCACTGTGAAGTTAGAAAGGTTTGTTGGTTTTTTATTTATTATATTTTATGTGGTTAACCAACAGTAGAGAATTCTGCTCAAATTTGGAGCAGAAAATGCGACTGCGAATGGAAGACAAGTGCCCCCTTTTCTGTCATTTCACAAACGTACTAGTACGGATTGCAATAAAATTTACATGTAAAAATTAGAGAAAAAAATCACTAAATATCACCAGTGTTTTTTCATATTAACGTGGAACATTTAGGGCGAAAATTGTGTGAGCATTTGCTAAGTAATGGACGTTAAATGAAAGTGAATTTATGTTCATGTTATTTCAGATATATTTTACACAAATATGTAGAAGCTGAACTAAGCTGAGATAATATGCGGCATAAGTCAGGGCTTGTAAGTGGAGGAGGGAGTAACAGTGGCAGTAGCAGCGGCCCAAGCCCTACTAAGAACAAGCCAGGCAGCAGCAGTAGTGGTAGTAGTGGCCCCCCTGTGCTGTTCCCTGGTATTGCTAACACCAGTGCTAGCAATGTAGCGGCTGAGGCAAAAATAAAGGATATGCTTAAGGAGTTGTACCATTTAATTCATCAAGTCCAGGTATGCTTACATTTTAGTTTGTCCTAGCAGCAGTAGAAAATACAAGATCTCCTGCCGGATAATTTTTTTTTTACCTGTATGATCATAGTTGAAGAATTGGCAAGGCTTTTAACCTCATAGCTTTGAATTTTAAAGGTTTTTGTAAGGGTTAAAAGAATTGTTTGATTTGTGAGAATATGTATGTGTAAGGTCATCCTAGAATCATTTTTAGTTTGCCAAAGTGGCAACAAGTATATGTTAGAGGGGTGGGTGAATCTTTGAATTTTTTGTCTTATTGCAAGTATTTTTTTTTCACAGAAATTATGTCTAAATATCTAGACATACACAAATGATAGTTACAATGCTTTTATTTTGATTCTAATTTGACAACAAATTTAGTAACATTAAGTTTTTATTGCCATTAACAGTTTCAGTTACAGCTAAGGATTGTTTTGCAGGCAAAGATGAGTATAATGTGATAGAAATCTAAAAACAAATGATGAAACATGGCAAGGTAATCAATACCACTCATAAGCAATATTAATATATATTCCATCGGATTTTTAAAACCTATTTTACAGGATGAAAGAACAAGAGGAGAGCATAACTTGTCCAATATTGGAAAAACACATGAAAGGATTTTGCAGGAACAGAAAAGTATGAAGATATGGCCATTGTAATATCTGTATTTCATGATTTTGTAAATACCATTAATTAAATTAAAATTGTAAATGTCATATCATTTAAATAATTTGCAAAATGATATAAAGATATAAAACTGATTACTTGTTATGGTATTTTAAACTGCCCATTCTCTAGATAGATGTTATTTCTTTTTTTGGTTTTGTCTCTAGAGATGTTTTAAAACGTATGACAATTCATTTGGGAATTTATATCAACATTTTATTTCAGTTTCACCTTATTACAAGTCCAAGTTGAAAGGATTGTACAATACAGCAATGCAAGATGCGGAAAGTGAAGCTGAGTAAGATATTTGACAAAGAGTGTTCTTTCTGATTTATATCAGGCCTAAGTATAATGTTTTTAAAGTAGAAGTTGAAAATGAGTCAGGGAATTACTTTAGGTAAATGCCCCTTTTCACTTCACCTTCATGTTGTTTGTTTTAGGTTACTTAGGAAGGCACTTGACAAGATTAATGAGGTGAAATCATTCCGGAATGAAAGAAGTAAGTTTTATTTTATTGTTTGTTCTTGAAAAATCTGATTTACTTTTTCTGTGGCAATCTGTATACTGACTTTGTATTTAAAAGAAACTTAATCTATATGTGGAAATTCTCATTGGAATTTTCTGATTTTAAAGGAGATGGTCCTCCAAAGCAAGTGAGAAGAAGAGGTGTTTTGATGTCAATGCTACAGCAAAATGCACTTACTCTGCCTCTTTGGATAGGCAAACCAGGGGAAAAGTTAGTAGTTCTTTAAAAAAAACATCAGCTCTTTGACAATGAATAATTTATGTTCTTGATTTATGTTGGATTAATTGCACACATATTTAGTCTTGTTAACAGATACTGTTAAGCAAGAGATGCAAATTATGAAAATGCTATATTTAACAGAATAACAATCAATTATCTATATTTTTATTGAATGTATCGAAACTGACTGTCTCCTTCTCCGTTTCCAGGCCACCACCACTGTGTGGAGCCACACCAGCAGAATCCACTTACATAGCCAAACCCAGGGACAAGGTAGCAGCTAGGGTCAAAGGTCAAGATGGAGAAGAAAACTGGATTCTTTCAGAAGTTGTATCATTTAATAGCTCAACTAATAAATTTGAGGTGGATGACATTGATGCTGAAGAAGGCAAAGAGTAAGTTAGTCCATGAATAGAACCATTTGATATGATGTTTTAAATATTTCTCAGACTTGCAATGAAAAGATTCCATTTTTTATGAACAGCATGATGATTATAATGTCTGAAACTAAAAGTTCACAATAAATTATAGTATTATATAATTTTGACAGCATTTGATAATTAAATGGAAATAATTTCAGGCGCCATGTCCTCAGCAGGCGTAGGATAGTTCCCCTTCCAGTGTGGAAAGCAAATCCAGAGACTGATCCAGAGGCATTATTTCCAGCAGGAACAGTAAGTAATACATTAGGGCACGTTTAGTTAATATTAAGTACATGTATTGTAACTTTTATTTTTGGTATTTGTTTTGTTTTCTAATAAGTTTTATTGTTATTTAAATTGGTACTAGGATCTAGAAGAACACATTTTGTCAAAGCTCAGGAAAGTGCACTTTTAGTGGTATTGTATATAAAAACCATATTGTATTTATTAATCAGCAGGTGTTTGATTTTTTTTCTGCTCATAATTGCACACTGTTTTGTTTTTCAGCTTGTGCTTGCTTTATATCCACAGACAACTTGCTTCTACAGAGCTCTTATACATGATCCACCTAAGAGGGTGTGTATTTGTAGAATTGTTTAAAACAAATTATGGTTACCAAATCCATTTACATCAGATATTTTATGAAAATTATAAAATGTACAAGAAATTCCAGGAAAATGTGGTATTTATTTGATTAAGATGTTTTAAATGCAGAGTCATAATCATCATACATTTGCTAGTTTTAAGTCTTACCTTTGCTGTATCTTATTACAATTTTTCATATAATTTGTTTTAGCCTCATGATGACTATTCACTGCTGTTTGAAGATAACTCCTATCCAGATGGCTACTCACCACCACTTAATGTTGCACAGAGATATGTTATTCTTTGTAAAGATGACAAGAAGAAATGAACTTCATATACTGTTTTTGTTTTATCTCAAAACTTACTAAGCATTTTAAAAACCTAATACTATTTGAAAATCTGGGGAATATATAGAACTGTGTATTGAAAGTGAAGTTGTACATACAGGTTGTAAGGTGGGATATATGAATCATGAGGCACTTAAAGCACTGGTGAAAAAAAAATGGAAACCCCCGTAAACTACTTTTAGTTGATGGACTTCTACTGTAGTAGTTTTTACAATATTATAAAGAGGGATCCTGCTCTTATCACCAGAATATAATGTGAAACCCATTAGAAATTGGATTCTGTATGAACTTGTCATTTACCAAATTTAAAGCAGTATTGGATCAAGTAAAATTAATTTTATCATGGAGTGATTCATTTACATACCTGCAGAAAAGTTGTGTCTTGCATTCCAACTGGCACTGGCCCGAGGGCTCTACTGGTAGAGTGTCTTTGGGACAGGTAATTCCCACAGCCTGATATACTGAAGAACATTATGTAAATGGTACCCATGGTTTCCTTGTTTATCTCTGAGCATACAGAGAATTCAGCAGGGAGCAAAGACCTGGTCATGGCAGTACTGGTAATTGAGTATGATGATTTTGAGTACCACAAATCTGTTGCTTGGATTATATGCTCCCAAAGGACAGGTTCAGTTCAGAATTGACCAGATCCAAGACCTGGCATAAACTGTAAAGCTGGGTGATCTTCTTTATTTGAAGAAATCAGGCTATATACAACCTTTACCTGTATCTTTACCTCAGGAGTGACTCTAATAAACAAAGATAAACTGCCTTTAAATATTTAGTACGAATTAAACTTGTGTGCCTTTGTCAAGAAATGAATGCTAATATGACAACAGCTGCTCTATAGTTACTCTGAAGTAATTGATTAACAATTTTGTTTTTAAAAGTAATTCTGAATAACCAATATCAACAATATGAGATGAAAGCTTCCCTGAAAATATTCTGATGTAACCTGGCATTCTTACTTAGACTGGTGCATGATGTCTTGTCTTGGATAATTGCACGCTGACAGCAAGTACTTGGAGAAAAAAAAACAAGTGCCCTCTAGCGGATTGTCATGAAAGCTGGCTGATATAAATTTGTTTATTGTTCAAAATGGCCGCGGGAAAAACGAACTTCCCAGATAAGAACTCGGGTGATAAATTGGACGTGAACACCTCATTTAATCAACGTGATCATGAAAAAGAGAAAACAGCTTGTGAAAATGATAAGAATAGAAGAATATATTCGAGTTTTACTCTGTTTGATGCCGCTTTTGTATTATTTTCTATGGGAACTTTTCTCGTTGACATGGCCACAGGTAGGTTCATGAATAAGTTTGTAATGTTAGACAGCATTCTCATAGATTTTAGATCGATCTATCCCCGTGGGGAGTCTCACTAGATTGCTGTCAGATTAGCCGGCTTAAATGTCTGTCCCGCTAAAACACTAAAACTTGTAAGGGGTGTTATGTACCTTTACATATACATCTGAGATGAATGTCCTAAACTTATGTAATTTAGAACGCTTAATTCAAGCGTGGGCTCGAAATAGGACATTACGTTTTAGACTTACTCAGTGGATAACGCAATTCAAAATTCCACAGTTCGTGTCAGATTTACGTGAGGTCGCGCAAAGAAAACCCAAGTCCACATAATGACCAGTTTAATGGTTTATTGGTTGACGATCTCTAACTACATGTTCTATACGTGAAGCCTCCAACTTCTAAGCCGTCTCCCATAGCTCCGTCGAGCGGTCACCTTCGAGTCTTCTTCAGTCTGACCCCCCAATATTATTTCTAGACGTCTTTTATACGTATTTCTTATCTATAGGTGGATTCTGTGCTGGAGTATTTGGCGGTACATATTAATTTTAATTATTCAAATTGCACACGTCCACTTAAGTTACATAACTACAGGTAAGGCCATAAAACGAGGCGAGTGCACAAGCAATCGACTCTAATCAAATTAATTTACATGTCTGGGAATTATATTTGTGAACACTACACGCCTTCCCTTTTTACCAGAAAAAAAAAATACATTTTTTTTTCATTTACCACGTTGGAGACATTCACTCTACATTATATTTACAACATATATACAAAGCGAAGCACGTTAATAGAAGAACACGTTACAGACAGGCCCGGAAGAAAACCAGAGATAAAACCCTTTAATTCATATCTTTCTTTATCAATTTAGGGAAAAATAGCTCTGGAAACCGGGCAACTGAGCCCTTACATTTTAAAGTCTTTAAAATTGATTTGAGTCTTTTAGTATTTAGTCTTTCAATGGAATCATCGGCAAAACGGCGGGGTCCACCACTCTCGGCTGTAGGGTTACTTGGGTTCCAAAGCGCAGGACGGATCGGTCTAATGGATCGAAGCGCTGGAAACCCTCAGCCTTGGATACGAGGCAGGCGGCGGGTCGGAGGCGATGACNCCACAGTTAGACTTAATCAAGCTACCAGCACCATCACGACCGTATCAAGCTACCAGCGCCGTCTCGGCCTGTCTCATCAGCAACACCTGGCCATATGCTGCAGATAAAACTGTGTGAGCTACCAGTGCCGTCATGGTCTGTCTGCCAGCAATATCCGGCACATATTGCCAGCAAAACTCTGTATGTTTCCGAAGTCACAGAACACCCGTCGTATCGATCATCATGGCTGGTTACTCAAACAACAACAAGATATTAGCAAGACAAAATCTCTACCCAGTTCCCACAGAACACGGTTCTGCTACCTATACCTTCGTGGGCAGGCATCAACATAAAAAATACCTGGTCTAAAATACCAGTCCCGACACTCCAACGTGGAGCATGGTACCCTTAAAGAAATTATCTGGTCTAACTTGCATTTATCCATCGGTGGACCTAAATTAACAAGCAGCCCTACGTCGCTAGGAACATACCAGAATTTTTTCGCTCCCATACGGTGGATTCTGTGCTGGAGTATTTGGCGGTACATATTAATTTTAATTATTCAAATTGCACACGTCCACTTAAGTTACATAACTACAGGTAAGGCCATAAAACGAGGCGAGTGCACAAGCAATCGACTCTAATCAAATTAATTTACATGTCTGGGAATTATATTTGTGAACACTACAGGGGGTAATTAACTATGGTGCGCGCTCGGCTGACAGCAATTTAGCGTGAACCCCCAGGGAGTTAGGTCGATCTAAATCTTAATCTTAGTTAGGTCGATCCAGATGGATCGATCTAAATCTGTGGGAATCCAGTCTTAGACCATTCCCAGAGACTATCGTACTAACTTTGGATTACACAGAAAACCTATATTACACAGAAAACCTATAACCTGAAAATACCCAAACCGCTTATGATAATATGGAAAAACAAAAAAAGGCTGTAAAGTGATTTATGATACGTTTATAAAAAAAACTGTACGAAACCCCTAAAAATGAAATAAAATGGGAAAGGTTCTTTAATAAAGCAATAACATGGAATCTTATCTACAATCGTCTCCTGACAGATATAAAAGAATCCAAACTCAGATGGTTTAACTTTAGATGTATTCATAGAATTCTAGGGACAAAATACTTACTGTTCAAATATAAAATAGCGGATAATCCACATTGCAATTTATGTAGCACAAGGATGGGAACAATTGAACATCTATTCATAGATTGTAATCTCGCAAAAAAATTGTGGAAGCAAATCGAAAACTGGTTTAGGGAAGAAAAGGGAGCCAATATTCATTTCTGCATCGGATATTATCCTCGGAAATAATGATGAGAAATTGAATTCATTGATTTCCCAGGTAAAATATTACATTTACAGTAAATCAAAAAATGGGGGACATCTGTCCTTTAGGGACATCGAATGCTATCTGTGTTAGAGAAAAAATGCTGTGCTTATCAATATCTTATTTACTAATGAAAATGATGAGCCATCAGTAGTAGTTATAAGTGTCTGTGTCTGTGTGTGTGAGAGAGAGAAGTAAGTGTGAGGTAAAAAAGAATTATTGTGTTCTGTAATTAACATTACCTAAGTTCAATAAAAAAAAAAAAAAAAAAACTTCGGATCTCTTAGGGGAATCTGGCTTAACTGCAATTAACTTAAGCGGCTTAGGTGTCTGTCACGCCTACTGAAGCTGATAGGGGGTAATTAAAACTATCCTTTAGCAGCTTCAGTAGGCGTGACAGACATCTAAGCTGCTTCAGTTGATTGCAATTAAGCGGGAATCCCCTTGGAGATCGATAGATCCACAGTTAGTACGATAGGGTCTGGAAATGGTCTGTTATGTTCCAAGCATGAATTTTTTTCTAATTAAGCTAGAAACTGGAATTTTGTACACAGATAACCACGTATTTGAGTATGAATAAACCATTTCAATTTTTAAATTTGGAACAAAAACTGAGGCAAGGATGTATAGCAAATGCAAGAAATTATATTAACTAGTAATCAAGGTTTACTAGTGAACAGTTATTAAATAATCCTAAAAATATTACCTAAGATATGGTAAAAGATTATGCTTATATGGTATCTTAACTTGAGTATTTGTATTCACAACCTAAATAATAATGTACTTTATTTAGAATTGATTGTATTGATTTTGGGCAAATTGAATACATTTTTAAAAGTAAGGTGATGCTACGCATTTGTTCCTTTTCAGATTTGTGGGTTGGGTTTCATTATTTCAGCAGCAATGAACCTATCTGGGGATCCTTGACACTAGCTTTTGTAGTTGTACCGTGTATAGTAATGCAGGTGTTCAGTATACGGTGGCACATAGTAGATGACAATATGAAAGGATGTTTCTACTGGACTATACACTTTCTACTTATGGGCCCAATTCACAGGTAAATGAGGAGTTTTGGCTGCATTCAGAACAGATGATCTGCGGAACAAATATGGTGGAATCTACTTCAAAAGGATGAAGAATAATCTCCTAATGGTCTCTGACTAGGGGGGCTCACAGGGGATTATATTCAAGTGGGGTCGGCCATATTTGATCTGTGGACCAGTTAGTCCAGGGATCATATGTTCTGAATGCGGCCTTTGATTATTTTTTAATTGATAAGTATTAAAAATCTACATCAGTGTGTGATAAAAGTAATAATGTATTTGAAAGATAAGCTTTTTTTTTCTTTTTTAAATACCCTTTACACCAATATTTAAGTATTGTTCTTTAATAATTTCAGATATGTCATGGTGCTCAAGGCAGGTTGGAGGGCAAGGATGACCCATGAACCTGAAGACTTTGACATATATTATCACAGACAGAATGATGTATGCATGTTACGGCTGTTTGAGTCTTTTATTGAGTCTGCACCCCAACTTTTACTCCAGTTATACATCATGGTATATACTGATCATACAAATTGGCTAACAGGTCAGTTTCAGCCTGTTCAAGAATAAATATAATTAGTTGTTCCACCCCTTTATTTTGGTGAATACCATTGAAATTAAAGATATATAATATGCCATACAGTGTATGTGTTTATGATTTAAAATGTTGATACCAAAATAATTAAAGTTAAGGCAGTGGTATCTGTGACATAAGCATGGATTTGGTCATATGATTATAGAGATATTTACAGACATTGAGTGCGTACAGAACAGTGGACTAACAGATCTGCAGATCAAATATGGCTACCCACTGAAAAGCTTGCTGCNACATGGAAACCCCCGTAAACTACTTTTAGTTGATGAACTTGTAACTTTAGTAGTTTGTACAATATTATAAAGAGGGATCCTGCTCTTATCACCAGAATATAATGTGAAACCCATTAGAAATTGGATTCTGTATGAACTTGTCATTTACCAAATTTAAAGCAGTATTGGATCAAGTAAAATTAATTTTATCATGGAGTGATTCATTTACATACCTGCAGAAAAGTTGTGTCTTGCATTCCAACTGGCACTGGCCCGAGGGCTCTACTGGTAGAGTGTCTTTGGGACAGGTAATTCCCACAGCCTGATATACTGAAGAACATTATGTAAATGGTACCCATGGTTTCCTTGTTTATCTCTGAGCATACAGAGAATTCAGCAGGGAGCAAAGACCTGGTCATGGCAGTACTGGTAATTAAGGATGATGATTTTGAGTACCACAAATCTGTTGCTTGGATTATATGCTCCCAAAGGACAGGTTCAGTTCAGAATTGACCAGATCCAAGACCTGGCATAAACTGTAAAGCTGGGTGATCTCCTTTATTTGAAGAAATCAGGCTATATACAACCTTTACCTGTATCTTTACCTCAGGAGTGACTCTAATAAACAAAGATAAACTGCCTTTAAATATTTAGTAGGAATTAAACTTGTGTGCCTTTGTCAAGAAATGAATGCTAATATGACAACAGCTGCTCTATAGTTACTCTGAAGTAATTGATTAACAATTTTGTTTTTAAAAGTAATTCTGAATAACCAGTATCAACAATATGAGATGAAAGCTTCCCTGAAAATATTCTGATGTAACCTGGCATTCTTACTTAGACTGGTGCATGATGTCTTGTCTTGGATAATTGCACGCTGACAGCAAGTACCTGGCCCCCGTTTCACAAAGAATCTTAAATCCGTAGACGTCTTACTCGAGCTGGGTGGCCTAGCTAGGTCGACTTAGCTGAAGTCGACTTGGAGTGTTTCACAAAGAATCTAACGTCGTACAGGTAGCTTGGCGTGCTTACCGTAGTCGACGCGCACGAGAAACTCTTCAAGAAAAGGAGGTGTAAAATTGCAAAAGTTTCACAAGACATGACGTTTCATGGCCTCTTTCGGCCGAGAACGATCGTTTATCAACGATAAAAGTCAGCCAAAACACAAACAAAGTTTGTTTTTGAACTTTATTGATTAGTTTTACTTCAATACAACTTCAAAGCAACAGTTAAACATTAGCTTGTCGTGGAACACTACTGAGGGACGTCTAGCGGTCAAAAACATAAACAAACACGCGATCGGCTGGGTAAAGTGGAATTTTATTTTTTATTTTAATATTCCATAAATGTCAGTGCTATTCAAGGATATTATAACACAATATCTTGAAGGAGGTATGTTCTTTCCAGATTTTTGTTGTTTATGCTCTCATTTACCGAGTTTTAGTTGAGCTTGCCGACTTAAGTCTCCTCCCGAGGAGGCTTGACATCGTCAATGTCGACTTACAGCTAAGAAAAAAACGACGTAAGCGACCTTTTAGATTCTTTGTGAAACGGGACTTAGTGACGTAACGACTTAATTACGTTGGTAACCAAGCCCTAAGTCAGGGAAACCGACTTATGTTTTTTTGTGAAACGGGGGCTTGGAGAAAAAAAAAAGTGCCCTCTAGCGGATTGTCATGAAAGCTGGCTGATATAAATTTGTTTATTGTTCAAAATGGCCGCGGGAAAAACGAACTTCCCAGATAAGAACTCGGGTGATAAATTGGACGTGAACACCTCATTTAATCAACGTAATCATGAAAAAGAGAAAACAGCTTGTGAAAATGATAAGAATAGAAGAATATATTCGAGTTTTACTCTGTTTGATGCCGCTTTTGTATTATTTTCTATGGGAACTTTTCTCGTTGACATGGCCACAGGTAGGTTCATGAATAAGTTTGTAATGTTAGACAGCATTCTCATAGATTTTAGATCGATATATCCCCGTGGGGAGTCTCACTAGATTGCTGTCAGATTAGCCGGCTTAAATGTCTGTCCCGCCTACTAAAACCTGTAAGGGGGTAATTAACTATGGTGCGCGCTCGGCTGACAGCAATTTAGCGTGAGCCCCCAGGGAGTTAGGTAGATCCAGATGGATCGATCTAAATCTGTGGGAATCCAGTCTTAGACCATTCCCAGAGACTATCGTACTTACTTTGGATTGAACTATCTCTTAGGGGAATCTGGCTTAACTGCAATTAACTTAAGCGGCTTAGGTGTCTGTCACGCCTACTGAAGCTGATAGGGGGTAATTAAAACCATCCTTTAGCAGCTTCAGTAGGCGTGACAGACATCTAAGCTGCTTCAGTTGATTGCAATTAAGCGGGAATCCCCTCGGAGATCGATCGATCCACAGGTAGTACGATAGGGTCTGGAAATGGTCTGTTATGTTCCAAGCATGAATTTTTTTCTAATTAAGCTAGAAACTGGAATTTTGTACACAGATAACCACGTATTTGAGTATGAATAAACCATTTCAATTTTTAAATTTGGAACAAAAACTGAGGCAAGGATGTATAGCAAATGCAAGAAATTATATTAACTAGTAATCAAGGTTTACTAGTGAACAGTTATAACTTATTAAATAATCCTAAAAATATTACCTAAGATATGGTAAAAGATTATGCTTATATGGTATCTTAACTTGAGTATTTGTATTCACAACCTAAATAATAATGTACTTTATTTAGAATTGATTGTATTGATTTTGGGCAAATTGAATACATTTTTATAAGTAAGGTGATGCTACGCATTTGTTCCTTTTCAGATTTGTGGGTTGGGTTTCATTATTTCAGCAGCAATGAACCTATCTGGGGATCCTTGACGCTAGCTTTTGTAGTTGTACCGTGTATAGTAATGCAGGTGTTCAGTATACGGTGGCACATAGTAGATGACAATATGAAAGGCTGTTTCTACTGGACTATACACTTTCTACTTATGGGCCCAATTCACAGGTAAATGAGGAGTTTTGGCTGCATGCAGAACAGATGATCTGCGGATCAAATATGGTGGAATCTACTTCAAAAGGATGAAGAATAATCTCCTAATGGTCTCTGACTAGGGGGGCTCATAGGGGATTATATTCAAGTGGGGTCGGCCATATTTGATCTGTGGACCAGTTAGTCCAGGGATCATATGTTCTGAATGCGGCCTTTGATTATTTTTTAATTGATAAGTATTAAAAATCTACATCAGTGTGTGATAAAAGTAATAATGTATTTGAAAGATAAGCTTTTTTTTTCTTTTTTAAATACCCTTTACCCCAATATTTAAGTATTGTTCTTTAATAATTTCAGATATGTCATGGTGCTCAAGGCAGGTTGGAGGGCAAGGATGACCCATGAACCTGAAGACTTTGACATATATTATCACAGACAGAATGATGTATGCATGTTACGGCTGTTTGAGTCTTTTATTGAGTCTGCACCCCAACTTTTACTCCAGTTATACATCATGGTATATACTGATCATACAAATTGGCTAACAGGTCAGTTTCAGCCTGTTCAAGAATAAATATAATTAGTTGTTCCACCCCTTTATTTTGGTGAATACCATTGAAATTAAAGATATATAATGCCATACAGTGTATGTGTTTATGATTTAAAATGTTGATACCAAAATAATTAAAGTTAAGACAGTGGTATCTGTGACATAAGCATGGATTTGGTCATATGATTATAGAGATAATTACAGACATTGAGTGCATACAGAACAGTGGACTAACAGATCTGCAAATCAAATATGGCTACCCACTGAAAAGCTTGCTGGTTAATTCCAGATTAGATGCTGAATAGATTCCCCGCAGTGATAACCCAACAAGCATTCAAGTGGGTTGCCATATTTGATCCGTGGATCTGTTAGTTCACTGTTCTGAATGCACTGTATGGTACTTGCTCCTATCTACTAGTATTTGAATCTAATAGCATTATTGTATAATCATGGGCAGTTGTGCCAAGCATCAAATAATTCAATGTATTTATTTTTATTCCAGGTTGTTCTGCCTCAATATCTCTTATATCATTGGCGTGGGCCATAGCAGCCTATACTAAAGCCATGCGCCAGGCTCACCAGGATAATTACAGAGTCTTCTGGCCAGGCATGATCTTACAGACTATATGGAGAATTGGCATGGTGTCAGCCAGAGTCATTGCTCTGGTCATGTTTGCTTCTGTCTATCAGGCTTGGTTGATCCTGGTGTTAGGTAGAGTTCATCAATTTTTTTTTTTTTTTTCAGTTTTCAGTTGCGCTTTATTATTTTTAGAAAGATTTTACAATATTAAAAAAGCATTTTTTTGTCCTTTTTTGTGAACGTAACTGTTTTTTAAAATTGTTATAAAGATGTTGATAAGAATTGGTCTTTTAGAATTATCATCATGCCCTTTATGAAAAACTAAATAATTGCCCCATTCATTCAATTTAATTCATTTTAGTTGCACCACTGTATTATGATTCTTACTTATTTGCAGTCGATCTTAGTTTTGTCAAACATGAAAGTGCTGAGATATTAATAGTTCTCCCCCTTTTACTTTTCTAGGTGTCCACTGGCTGACGATGACAATCTGGATCATTCTCCAAAAAACAGACTTTTGCCAAAGTTGGTGGGAAGAGAAATTGTTCAACTGTATCTGTGGCATGATATACTGCTTCTGCTTCTTTAACCTCAAGGTTATTGACACATTGTACAATAAGAAGTTTGTGAAAATTTTTCATGGCTCATATAACTTCTCTTAAACAGAAATAGTATGTTGAAATATTTTGGAATAAATGTTGGAATAAATGTATATTTCTCACGTTTTATGCAGATACCAGTTGAGTAATAAGCTGTGACCAAACCACCTGGTTTTAAATATAGCGAGGCTTTTGCTAAGATTTTCTAAACTGAAAGATATTTGGGTATCTTTGCAGGAAGGTCAGAGCAGGTGGAGAATGCTGGGTTTTTACACTGTCATGCTACTGGAAAACTGTGCTTTACTGGCAGCTTGGTACTTGTTCAGAATCAGAGAAAGGTGGTATGATCAGTTTCTACTTGGTGCGGTACCTGTGGCCTTCACTGTAGGTGAGAATCCCTTTCTTTGTCAGGGATGACAAAAAATTAAAGCAATCCAGGTGATTGATAATGAATGTTGTAATAATATAAAAAGGTGCCAGTTGCTGGTGTTTTTTAAGGATATTCGTCGTTCAATCTAAGGTTTAGTGTGTCAGTTTATCAGCCAGTAATTTTGTGGTCACCACTTTGTAGACCTTTAACGATGTCATTATACACCAGCACTGCTGAGTGGGATTAAAAGAAACAATACATCACAGCCAAAGAAAATCAGACGTATTCCATTAATAAATATGTACAGTGGTATTTGGGGGAAAAGATTTTCAGTATTTGCTTCTAGTAACAAAAGGTACTTGGGTCACATCAGTTTTCAGTGCAGTCATCCATTCAATTACCACAGATGGTGCATAAAATGAATAAATAATCATTGCACTGTATTATTCCAGGTCTAATGTGTATGCTAATGTACTACAGATTGTGTCATCCCTCTGGGCCTATAGACCCATGTGCTGCTGATACTTCTGCAGATATAGAATCTACAGACTGTGATGATTATAACAAGCCATCTGGAGACCCAGCATCTGGTATCATTAGAAGGATGACACTGAAAACCACTAGACCTACATGTGCCAAGATAGAGAAAAGACAGTCAGCAAATAGTTCTTTTAGTGACTACTCACCACTTAAGGATTCTTTAGAAAATGACCAAATAGGCATTGGGCAAAGTAATCATTCTGAAAACTGCAGTGAGAGAGACAATGGGTCGGACAAAGACAGAGATGCTTCAGAAAAACACTTTATTAGAGGAACCAAACTTGGTTTTGGACTCCATGGTTGCTTTAGACCCCAAGATACTGTATTAAGTCTAGTAACAGATGAAAGCTTTCAGGGAAATGGTTCGAATTGCAGTCTGAAAGAAGACAATAAAAATCGCTTATCACAAAATTGTATGGCTGGTTTACTGCAGGAAAAGAGTTGTGGTCAACCTCCAGATATTGGTTCTGGTCCCTGTATTGACCTGGATGGGCATGAAGGCATGAAAATGACAGAAGACAAGTCGCCTGAGGTTCAGATGTTTAGTAATCAGGTAAATAAAATTGAATCACAGTTGAAAGTTAGTTCGGAAAGTGATGGTTGTATCACATTGAGAAAAGTGGAAATATCAAATCCTGAGAGTAAATTTGCCCATGATAAAAACACAAGTACACTTCCACACCAAATGGCTGAAAAGTGCACAGTAGTAAATTTGAGCAATAATATTTGTAATGAGAGGCAGGTTACTGAATCTCTCCCACCTAATGAGGGTCGTGAGGTAGGGGTGAAGACTGATGTAGGAGAAAAGTTAATGTTCCAAATGCCTGAGCCATTGCCTCCCTTCAGTGGGCCTGGACCAGTCCCCAGTTCAAAATATCAAACCTTTTCAGATAAGCTTCAGTGTCAAGGAAAACCCAAAGAGCTTGGATATGACAGTTTTTACTCAAAGAGTCTTGATACAGAAAATTTTCCACAGGTAGCACAATTAAATGAGGTCGAATCTTGCCCAAAATTGGAAATAGCTTTGACAGAATCTAGCAAGCAAGCCCTTCCTATTGAATTGGAATTGTGTGTGACCTCTGAAAACATGCTTCCCAATGGGTCTGAAATACATTCCAAAACAGAGAGTAACGCCCCTGTGGGTGAAAAGGCTACCAATGTTAGATTAATGTCTGGTAAGCGGAAATCGTCTCTCTATAGCATAGTGTGCACACCTCCAACTTCTTCAGGGTTGTGCAAGAATGCATCAGGGAAACCAACAGAAGTTGTTCCTAAACTGATAATTAAAGAAGGAGCATCTTGCAATACTGTTGAACCTCATGCAAAAAGTTTTCCATCTCGGGTTCCAAGAAATTTTCACTGCTCCTCTGAAAATCTTTCATGTGATGACAGAAAATTAAGCAGAGCCAACAATATGGCATCCTTGACAAAAAGATTTTATTCTAATGAAAGACTAGATGCCCCAGGGCATGAAAATCAGTTACAGAATGTAGTTGGAAGTAGGTGCAACTCCCCTGCAGCTTCACAATTACAAAAGTCAAGGCAATCAAGTGCTGTGCAATCACTACTCTTTAAGAATCTAGAGATCGGTGCAGGCAAAAAGGTCAGTGGAGAAAATGATACTCAGCTAAAATTGAGTTCCAATAATGACATTGTTGGTGAGAAGATAAATGACTCTCTCAGTGTAGGTGAAGGTAAAGAAAATGTCAAACCCTCATCAAGTGCACTGGTGGCAGGAGGTATGATAAAAAAAGGTGTGGCATTTGCTGGGGAGGAGATCTCCAGGAGGAGGAGAACACCTTTAAAAGATGACACTAAGTTTAGAAAAACCAGACAAGCACACCAGTCTCTTGTGGCCATAAAACCTGAAACAGTTGCAAAGGCACTGTCTATGTTTGGGGACAAGTAGGAGAGAAAAAATGATTCATTAGTGGTAGGGCTTGGTGGAATGCTCGAAAGAAGTTCATTTTGTACTGTGTCTTTAAATGTAATTTTTTTTAAGTTTTGCAACTTGTCAAACATTGAAGGGGCTCCTTGTAAATTTTCTTTTTTGTATTTCAAACATTCCTGCCTCCTTCCTGACAAAGTTTGGAATCTTTAAATGCAATTGTTGACAGATAAACCATACATTGCAGAGTAAGTCAATTGTACATCCTTAGCCTATATCCAATTCTTAGGAAAAGATCAGTATGTCTTACTTTCAGATATCATTTAATTTTATCTTGACTGCCATAGGCCGCATTCAGAACAGATGATCCATGGATCAGTTAATATAGCCTGCCACACTTAAAAGCAACACAGCCTAATCCCCTAATGGTCTCCCCACCTCCTCCTCATGGTTTTAATCTAGGCTTCAAGGTTCAATTGCTAGACCCCTACCTGGAGTTGGGGAGACCATCAGGGAATTAGGGAGCCTTGCTTTTTCAAGTGAGTCCACCATATTTGACCTGCGGATCAGTTATTTCGAGAATCAAACTGTTCTGAATGATGCCATAGTGCACTTTTCCTAGTGAAAGAAGGCAGAATCACATTAATTTCCTGATCAAACAAATTTGTCTTCAGCTATGATATCTTTGTGAAAAAAATCTACTATTAGTTCTTACTTACCACATTAAAATAGTACTGTATACTTCTAATGACAAATTATATTACAAAAATGTTATTGCCAGATTCACAAGAAGAGATCAGTCATATTCAACATCCATGTATTCCATGGATTTACATTTAATGAAATAATCCTCCCATTAATAAGTCTTCTTTAATAATTCTAAAATGTAAATGGTATTCCTTGTGCAAAACTGGGTAAATTTTTATCATGCAAGACAATATTTCCCTGTTTTTATGGAGAAGTATCATTTTATTCCTACTGAAACTGTATACAGTTTTCAAATATTTTTGTACATTGTGTTGTGAGTTTTATTATTATTATTGCACTCCATGAACTGTGTGCCATGAGAACTCTCCTGCTCAAAATTATATAAATCATGTGTCATTTTACGCTTGGGTATCATGCAAAAGCTAAAATTGTAAAGAATACATATTCATGTACCAAATACCTATTCTCTGTAATTGAAAATTAATTGATGTTAGTCATATAATGTTTTAATTTGATTTAGAGCTTATTTCATTTATATAAAGTTAATTGCCATGAACAAAACAGTCTTGTTAATTGATACCTGTCAATTGAATTTTTTTTGTAATTTGCTTCTGTTACTCTTAACAACAAATTTCAGAATTGTTCTGAAGTATTTTCTACAAATTTTTGTCTTTAATATTATTTGCCTTTATCATACTAGCACTTTAGTAAATAACAACTTTTTTGCACATATTAGGTAAGATAATCAATAAGCTGTAGATGAACTGTAAGGAAAAGGTGCTTTGTTATTATTATTTTGTAAACCATTTTTCTATATATACATATATATATATTTACCATGTGTGTGGATGTGTGTGTGGATTTTTATTAACAATACAACAATAAATATATCATTTATAAAACCTTTACATTTGTTTACAACTGTTAGCAGAATTTTACAGAGGGATTTAAATTATACCATTAATAACTTTGACATGAAAAAAGAAGCCCAGAATTTTCTAGTCTTCAGCAATTTACTAGTGCATATCAACGGTTGCCTGTTTGACCTGCAAAATATTCTTTGCAAAATTCTTTGGTTAAATTGCCTTTTCCATCCTTGTATGTTTCTTAGCATGTGGTAATTCCTTTGCATAAATAAATTTGGACATCATAACTGAATAAAACTGAAATAATGGCTGCAGCTCCTTGTTTCTTGTAACCATGATTATTTCCTACATTAAACAAATATTGAAATAAAAATAATTAAAAGTGTAGATTTTTTTAAAATCCACTTATTGCACTCAAAACTAATTTTACACTGAACAGAAACTAACACATTTTGTCAAAAGAACAAGTTTGTCATCAGTAATAGCTCTTGAATCTGTTATACATTTTATTTGATTCATTTGTTGTGTGTAACAATATTTTGCTCAGCCCCCCCCCCCCCCTCACTGTTCACAAATTGATTAAACAACCCATTAAAAAGAAAAAACTTAATAAGCAAACTGTTAGCAGGATCCTAACTCCTTTGTACACCTTAATCTTTTGTGGTCTCCTGAAATTTACCCACCCTCAACTCTATAAAACCAATATTGCCTTACTAACCAAACCCACCTGACCTATTGGTAAATGTCCCAAATTTTATATGGTGTAACTAAATGGGCATGGTCACCAACAAATTTGTCCACTCCCATCCTTTATTAAATATACATTTTTTTTAAATGTTCAACAATTTGATTGAGAAATAATTAGACAAAAGTGCATGTTTAAAATTGCTGCATGCCTGTCAGCTTTTAATATTTCCTGTTCTCCATAGAATGAAAAGTCAATTTATATTTATTTTCCTCATCCACTTAGGTCCATATTTGAATTTTTGTAATTGAACCCCCCCCCCTGTTACACTGGGCTTGTGTCCACTCATTACACATATTTTTCCACTTGCACCCCTCTTCATATTTGATATTCAACATCAAATTCATATCAGTTTTAATGAACAAGAAAATTGCACCCTCTTCCTTTGTTGAACGTTAATGAGAGTTTACCAAAATTCTTTTTCCAAGTGATTGCAAGTCCAGTGTAAAAGTCTCAAGTCATCCATAATGTTCTATGTCATAACCTGTGTCTCACTATAAAAAGCCTTTTCAGATTCTGAAGTAGGCCATCCAGTGTAAGGTCAAAATGTTTTTTTCATTTAATTATCACATTGAAGTTAACCCTTATGGACGTCAACGAGAATGTGTTATTGCACTGGAAGTTATGGTCAACTCTGCCAGCATGCATGAACAACCAAGAAAGTTTCTTTTCAGGCCATCACATTAACTGATCTCTTTTTCTGTGGGTGGTCTCCTCTGGCTATTTGCCTCCACTGCAGTCACTACCCAGTGAATACCTTCATCTATACCCTCACTGAAATGTGCAAGTAAAATAAGAGACATTAGTAATTGATAAAAGTTAAATCAGTCCTGAATAAGTTTTAATTACATAGGTAATCAGGCCATTTCCAACTGCAACTTATCAACTTTGCTTGAAAATACCACTTCTTCAGACTTGGACCCAGAATACTATGCCTAGTTTTTAATGAGTCCAAGGTTGAGATGAGTCTCATTACTTTAAGGTGAAAGATGTCTTCAACTTCACCAAACCTATCTGACTTAAAAAGAGCTGTAGAAAAACAACAGAAACGAAATTTTCTTTTTGCTTAAAATTGTGATTGCTTTTTTTTTCACTTTTGCATGGTGTTCACATATCAAACTTAAATCTAAAAAAAAGTTTAACTTACCCATTTAATGCACTTGCCCCAAGCAAATGGCAGCTTCTGCGCCCAATCTTGTGGGCACTTGTGTTGAACACCTCTTTCACTTCTGCCACACTCATGCATTCCTGAAAAAGTGGAAAATCAAAAGATCAAATCCCTACACAAAAAGCAAATTACATCAAATGTATGTCCCATCACAACAGATGCACAACATTTCCTATTAAGTCGCACAGTAAATAAAAAAAATCAATCAAAAAAGCACAATTAAAATTTTCTTAAATTTTGAGGTCATTTTCTCCTGATTCTTTACCTCTAGATCCTGTTTATTTACAACCACAAGTAATGGAACACTGTCTAGAGCACTACTAGTAATCATTTTGTCTGAAACACAAAATCATATCATGTCATAAAACTGATAGGCTGTTTGGCAAAACTATCTTCATTTTCACCATATAAAACACAATTTTGTTACATAATTAAAGCATTGATTTTGGGACTCCTGACAAGCTATTAAGACATGAAACTGAAAATGGATAATCAGAAATTGAATTTTGGAGTCTTTGGCAATTTTATGTTGCAAAGCTATCATTGCTCTATGGACCTACAAACTTTGAAATTCTGAATATCTTTATCAACGGGACAATCCTTTCATTCAGAAAATCTTAAGACAATTTTTATTATAAAATTTTCGAGCCCATGATGTTATCTTATTGCACAGATAAAAATCATTTTTGTCCAAAATATAAAAAACACCCTAGTTATCTCAAACACTCATTACATCATTTAACAAAAAGAATGAAAGTTAAATAATATTGTTGTACTCTGTATTCACCAAATGTTTGTTTGGACTCCACAATCCTTCCCCTGTCAGCTCCATCCACCATATAGATAACAGCATGGCACTCTGCATAATACTGAAAATTATCAAATCTGTTTAGTATCATTAATTAAATTATTTTAAAATGAGCCATCAACTTATATCATCTTTATGTTAAGTATTGCTTTCTTAGAGGCCCTTCAACACAAAGGAGAGAGACATACTATAGACAGTAAAACTATGCTTTTTCAAGGAAGCCCAAACAGGCTTCTGATTCAAACCAAATCGAAACTGGCTTGACTTTCAACTCTGTTGGCATTTTTATTGTACGGATATCAAAAATTCAAGAAAAAATGGAATAAAAGTTACCTTATCCCAAAGTGACTGTAATTCTTCCTGCCCTCCTAAATCCCAGAAGTTCAAGCGTACAGATTTAACATCTATCTTTCCAACTAAAATATAGAATTGAAAAGTCTCTTTATCAATCCTTAAAGTGAAACTTAAAAGGCATAGTGGGTTCTCAATTAGAGCAAACTTTTCATTTTTTTCTTACAAAGAACAGAAATATAACTGTGGATAATCAATCTGAATCAAATTCTTTGAATTTTTACTGCAATGTTTTCAAAAATGTACAGTTATAACTGTTTTACCAGAGTATCTAGCCAAAATGACCTACATTTTAAAAGCTCCAACTTACTATTAAGACCAACAGTTGTGGTAATCTTATTCAGGTTAACTCCTTTGTAATTTTTGTTGAACACTGTCTGGGTTTTCTCTAAATATGTCTGAAAAGTATAACAGAGAGATTATGCTTTCACTATGTGGTTAAATATCTAAAACAATCCATATCCATACTAGTACATACATGTATTTGTAAAAATGTGCGCAAGGAAGAAATTGCTGAATTTCACAATAAGTTCTAGATCTTAATTTATCAGGTAAATAGCAAATATAAGGTGCAGACATTTTGTGAAGGTGCAGTTTTAACACACACACACACACACACACACAAACGTGGGTTAAATCCCGAGTTTCATACTTCATACGTAAACTGAAGTGACTATGACTGTACATAGATTGGTATATACCAGGCTCATTCCTGAATATAATTTTCTTTAGCCAAACAACAAATCACAATTTTGATCCACATCATATAAAAAGGTAGGGAAATAAATTGATCTGAAAATTTTTAGCCAAATAACAGCATTTTCAGTCTTAAATTAACCATGCTACAATGAGCCCTGATAACTATGCTAACAGTAGTTGATCTGCCTATTATTAATATTATGTAATAAGAAATCTATCTACTGTTTTCCCCGCATTATCAAGTCCCAGGATCACAACAAAATATTCATCCTTCTGGCACATGTACTTGTAGAGACCTGACAGAAGAGTGAACATCCTAGAAAGATGAAACAAATTATACAGTATGAGAATTCACAGTGCATTTAAAGAAAATGGGAAATGTAGATCATACCTGTATACATGTACCGGGTATCTTAGTATCTTAGAAGTTCAAAATAATCAGTCTCTGACATTTCCAGGTTTTTAAAAATCTTGTTTTGCAATGCAGGTTATGTTAGTAAATCTTGTAAATCACAAAATGCATCAATTATATTATTTACCAACACCAAATACAGATGTAATTTAACATGTAACCGCAATGCCGAAAACAGACAAATTCTTATAAATATCATCATCATCATCTTCATTATTATTATTATTATCTCTACTTTTATGGTTACATTTACATGAAATAATAACGTTATTAGCGTTACAAATTTTAAAATCTGGTGCGTATGTTAAATTACCTGCAATCTACGAAATTATGTTTGTATATAGATCCGTTTAATTTGCGACCTTTAATTATTCGTCCATCGTTTGCTGCTGATGGGCAATGTTCCACGTTGACGTTTCACTCTGTACATGCAGTAAAATATAAAATATTGTTATTTTACTGACAGAAATGGGAAACCACAAGCATTCGATATAACATTACGGACTACAACTATAACGCCACCTTCTGGGGATCCGGGGAGATAAACGTTGGGGTTGTTACTTATATTTGCTGATATTTACTCAGAAATGTTGAGAAAAGAGAGCCCTTCTCATATCACATGAAAATATTCAAACCTGATATTTTAATACTTCTCTCTCTCTCTCTTTACTATTTTAAAAGTATTGTTTAATGTTATATAATGAACTTGTGTCTTTTTGTTCTATGATAACCTGTAAACGCCAGGAGTATTCTGAGCTAGATTTTAGCTCGGTGGGATATCTTTGGCGAGACGGGCCCACACATGATGTGTGCGTTTGACACAATTAGTGGTAAACAGTTTATTTTCTTGATGTT